TGTAGTTTTAGAGCATATTCCAATTTAGCCTATGACTTGACTGGGTGATAACTGAGCCACTTATTTCTTGTAGCATTATTCTCTGCAACTTTCCACTGTCATTTTATGGACCTTGTTTGTTTAGAGTTAACATTTTAGAAAGAAAATGCTCTGTGATTTCAGACAGATCAACAGTACTGATGATAAATCAGATCTATTAACTTCCCTGAAAGACAACACCCCACAGACATTTAGAAAACATTCACAAGTAATGCTACATTACATAACACATTGGCAATGCATCCAACACAACAGGTGTTTGTCTATATAGAAAAAAAAAAAATACACAACTTCATTCTTACAGCTTGAGTATATTATTCAATGGGGTGCAAGCCCCCAAAACTAAAGAAAATTGGGAATTCTTCTTAGGATGAAAGAACTTGAAGCTTTTAAAGTGTTCCTGACAACAAACATATAATAGTTGTCAAATTCACTAAGACAGTAAAACATTAGCATAGATGCCTGCTGTATGACATAAATTCTTCATACTAATCCCGTGGACCAAATAAATGAAAGATATAATTCTGTCTACAGTATTTATTTATTATTAATGTACAATTTTTTTGCTAATAACCTCAGTAACACAATACACCGAAACAGCATAGGAAATCCTTAAGCATTACAACCTAAATTTAATTACATGCAAACTAGACAGTAGCACATTGCTTAGGAATGTAAGAATAAATGCCATCTATGTTTTGGCATATGTATCAGTGTTCAACTTTCCTTCATAACTAGAGAGGACAACAGAAATCTAGACACTGCACAGTAACAGATGGATGGGTACCCAGATACTGATGAGAGGAACTATTAGAACCCTAAAAACTTTTTAACCAGTCTAGTGCAGCCTTTAACATTTTTCAGTGACAAGCCTTACATAAAACCGAGTGCACAAATAAGGAATAGTGACACGCAGTTTTAAACCAGGGCATGCAAAAAAGGAAGGAGACAGAGCAAAAGCCAAATGTTTCTGTGTTTACAAATGTAGAACTATAGAACAGAGGGATGGGAAGACATGGCTGGTTTACAAACGTTCCCTTTCACTCATCACTAGAAAAAGATTTGGGTACTAAGATGCACGTCCTATTTGTATGCAAGAATTATATACATCTCTTTTAAGAAAACCTTTTGTGAGTTTGAAAGGTTTAGTTTTTGTCACTAATCTATTCTATTACTTATAAACCACTGAAATAAATCCTATAGCCATGTCTGTGTTGTCAATCGCTGAAACAAAAACAAAAAATAGAGATGCATTCCAACAAAGTCCTTTTCACGACTGTTTCCTGTTATCCACATGCACTCCTAAAATGTAACTTTTACTTACCTGTAAAAACAATAATACAATGGCTGAATTTTTGGATTCCATGTGTATTTTTGGTACAATGTTTGAAGCACTGGGTGCTATTATTTATAAATGACTTAAAACAATCATATAGTCATGTCTGTTTGGGATTTCATGTGCATTTTCGGTATAATGTTGCAGTGAGCAGCTCTCACAAAAAATTACAAAAACAGAATGGGTCACTTTGCCAGCTTCCTTACTACTCCTGAGCCTTCAATATTGACATAAAGTAGATTCGTAAAGGTATTGGCTCATAAGATGACAACTTTTTTGCTACTTTTAGAGACACTATTTCATATCTTATACTATTTCTCACTGAACCCTCCCTTTTTTGCAAGTTCATTTTCTCCTCTGTGTTTATATTGTACTACATTCCTTTTACCTTTAATATTGCCCATGGAATTCTCATTTAGACTTAAAAAGAAACATTTTAAAAGATAAAGAAGGCATTAAAATAATATAGAAAGCAAGGTAACTGTTATATAAATCGTCTATTAGCATTACTGTAGTAAAATGCTTTTTAATGTGTCTTTTGGATAGTGGGACTTAAAGTAGCGTTATTAAAATTAAAAAATCAAGCACCATAGTTATACAACTGATACATCTGATACAGCCAAGACATGCCCTTACACTAGAACTCACTGTATTGTTACATGGTGAAACAAATGCAGATATACTAAATCACAGCACTGCAAAACTTTCAAGGTGCACACTTGTCTGCAAGGTAAAATGTCACACTTTACAAAAAAATTGTAAACTCCTCAATCCATATGAAAATGTGAACAATTCTTTATTGTAGTGATTTCTCTCTGACTTATACATGTAATGATTAACCTATGTACAAACAAAGGTATGCATGCTAGCCATCCTGACGACAGTATACAAACAAAAGACACACAAGAGGCTTTCTAGGAAGAAACGAGCACTTTAGTTGCAAGGCCATAAATGAAGGTTGAGCCAGCAAAGGTCAGACAGAGGTGGCCAGGAAAAAAAAAAAAAATGTCCCACATCAGAGGAAAACTAAGGCTGCCCATACATGGCCCGATTTTTTGCAAAATTCACCATCTTAACATCTGTAGAAAAGTTCAAAGTCAACTATCAATAGTATTAGTTCATTATATGAAAATTAAATGACTTATGGGATGTTTGGTCATTTTCATTTAACATGTGCACTTTGAAAAGCATCAGAAATCTTTGAACTCATGGCCTGTTCTTAAAATATACAGAAGTACATAAAAATTGGTATCTGTTATCTGATTTGCGCACCCATCTGAAAACATTACTTTCCAGGTTGTTTTAAAATCATTCTGGCAGTCATCTGCTCTTTCCAACTCTTGTTTCTTTATAAAAAGCTATGGTTGCCATTTAAGTTTGTTGACTTGCATCAAATCTTATGAAAAAACAGACCGTGTGTGGCCACCTCAGTTCTTTACATAGGAACTAAAAAGTGTTAAAAGGTAGTGTGCAGTAGGGTGTGAATAGTTGATGCTTACGCAGACCACATAGATGATTTGGGGTACATAACAAAGCATACATAGCAACAGATGCATCTTCCGAAAGCGAACATGTGCTAACAGGGCTGAAATTGTGTCTGACAAAAGATGTAACAAAAGCTGCATGCAGAAAAAAAAGATCCACCAGTTGGGAACGTGCATGCTTAGAGCAGTGGGCTTTGAAGAGGCAGCCCTCGGGCCACACAGTTAAAGAAGTACACTAAAAAAAGAGAGTGCTTACCGCATCTGCAGATCTATATGATAATGCAAATGATGTTGGCATCCGTTCTAATAACCATGTATATTTTGGCATCTATATTCCCAACATATCTCCATATATTTACATACCAAGCACACACTCCAAAACACCCACACAGATAATGGGAGCAATCATTCCCTGATTACTGTCACCTCGTTAGCACATGGGGAAGTGACAGGCAAGTCTCACAAGATTTGCCCTAAACCCCAGTCAGGAGATCCTTTTCAGCCGCGCTGCATGAAATTAAGCGCATCAGACGCAATTATTTGCTGTAATAGTTGCCAACAAGCTTTAAACGCCAGGTTACACACCACTCTATGAACTACAAGAGAAACGTATGCGATCAAAATGTGCGTAAGGTGACTGAGGGTGTATTAGTGCACTTGCAACAACAGTCCTGCCTCTGATACTTTTTTCTATTTGCAGTTACATTTTCAGGATACGTTTTCGGAGTGTACCCCCTTTGTCTGAGGTCCAAGCAGAAATAGGAAAGAGTTTAGCACAGAGTTTTCCAAATGTACAATCAGCAGGAAGAATATTTTGGAAAAAAAAAATGCTTGCATCTATTACAGAGTCATCACATGGCTAGCATGCTTTATTTTCCTGGTAAACAAACCCCACAGCAAAGCTAGCGTTTGTTGGCAATCTAGAATAAGTTGCCAAGCTGGACATTGAATCCGTGCCATGTATATTAACATAACAGGAGGTCTGCTCAGCTACTATCATCCCTGGGGGAAGGTAATGTGGCTGGTTTACTAACACTAAGGGATCTATTTATGGGACCTTCACAAACATTCGCTGGTGGAGAATCAATTCCTCCCATAGAAAACACAAGCACCTGGATGGAGAATGTTTGGGAAAGTCACATCATGTGACTAAACCCCTTAATGTTTACCAAACTTCTTGTGGAGCTCAGACAACAAGAAAGGCTACTTTTCCACTTGTTTGCCGGACTCACCCACTAAAAAAAAAAAAAACCTCAAAGACAAAACCACATTAACAATCACTGGAAGAGTATCATAGACACTCGTTAGTAATCTGTCTCCCAATTGGGGCAACTTGTGACAGATCCCTGTAACCTGACACAAGTGGATCCCATTCCTTCACCTTTCCCACCAATAAAAAAGGGAGCACGGCCTACGGTGATAAATCCAAGGGAGCAGATGGCCAGCACACCTCAGAATTTCCTTAAATCCAAGTTGCAAAAACAACAAAAGAAAACAAAAAACAAAAGATAAAAAAGGACGCTGTAATGTTGAATGTTGCAATGTGGTTTTTTTTATCTAAGAGCTTGGGAAATCACAAGGTCTGCGACTTTAGGTGTCGCTGGCCATTGTCCTCTCAGATTCACTGAACTGTCGGCAAGGTTTAGAATACTTTGGTATACTTACACGTGCAACACAATTTACTCCAGCATGGAAAATGTCTTGTTTACCTGCACTTTTCTGCCCCCCCCAGCAAAAATCCCTTATGCGCCGTAACGTAAAAGGGTCACGCGTAAGAGCTACCTGCATCTTGAAATAGCAAGAAAGCTGTTGCAACTTCGCCACAGGGCTTTCTAATACACTGACGCAAATATGCTTTATTAAACCCCACACACAGGGGGGGTTATCAAAACGGAAGCAGACAAAATCTGCCCCATAGTAGCCAATCAGCTTCTATGGTTCATTTTTAAAGCTTAACTGACCAAACTGAAGAGAAAAGCTGATTGGTTACTAAGGGCAGCTGCTCCAGTTTTGATAAATTCCCCTCACAGTCTAGTATCTTACATATACATCCAGCACTGGGTTACCTTCTGGAAGGGGGGTGATTTGGGCACTCCTTTAAATTGCATTCATAAAATAGGCTTCTGTAGAGAAAGATTTACCTCAGGATACGTTCCAAGTATCTTCCTAGGAGCGAGCTGCCACTGACAGAATCCATGCAACGACTGGGAACATCAGTGAAACTTGTGAAGGGGGCAGAAGTTTGGAGTTGCAGTCCCGGCACAGAACGGTGCGGCATGCATAGGCACAGCAATGTGAGCGTGTCAGTGTGAGTGTGTGCCCCAGAGCGGAGCAGGTGGAAGCCTCCCCGGAGCCCAGGCGTAGGGGCCACACTGGAATATCCCCTCCACGCGACCAGCAAAACTTGAGAGGAAAGGAGAGCTCGTCCTCGCTTCTTCCAAGGCAGAGAGTGACTGGATTCAGGAACAGGAAAAAAAAACTCCTTCCTCGCCCCCCCACCGCGACACTACAAAGACAAGAGCAGAGCAGCACCTCTATCTGCTCCGAGCACCCCCTCCCAAAACACACACAGACAAAAAAATTCAGACAATCCTTTCCCGGCCCCCTCCTCCTTCTCTGCAAGACACCAGCTCTGAGACTGAAAGCAAAGAAGGCAGGCTGAGGGGAAGAAGAAAAGATTGGCTCTTCTCTTTAGGCACGAAATGTGAGCCGCCTCTTCACATGTCAGTGCACACGCGGATTCAGACAGGGCTTATTCACCCAAAAAAAAAAAAGCCCCTAGAGCAGCTCTCCACCGGCAAAGAGGACGCTTCCAGCCCGCTTTTCTTCTGCCACTCCTTTCTTGTGGCCTCCTACTGACTGCACATTGGCAAGGGGGGTGTGGGGGAGACAAAAAGTTTTAACTTGTTTTGTTTGCTGTTTTTTTTTTCTGTGTGTGTGACAAATCTTCAAGCTCCAGGACCGTGTAGGTTTGGGAAAGTACAGATGGCGAGAGTTGAAGTCCACCCAGTGTTCTTTGTGTTGAAAAAAAAAATACAAGAAACGCACGAAGAAAAAGTGTCCGACGCAAGTTGTATCATGGTGCGATTGCCCGCAGCAAACGGACAGCGTCTCTCTTTTTTTCCTACACAGTTTAGAGAATGAAAATGTGAACGCTGATGAAAGGATTTGGGTCATTCACACATCTAGAGGCGACCCGCGCTGTACCGTGCAGGTCACCACTAGGACAAATAGAAAATAATTATTTCCCCTCCCATTCACGTCACAACAGGTGCGATAGTTGGGCGCTGCGATAAAATGCAAACATGCATTTTATTACACCACAATGGATCCCACTGCAGGTTGCCCACGCGGCACCGCAGCAGACCGTGCTGACGTGCGGGGACTTGACACGTTGTACACTCCACGTAAGGTTTAGGGCCCCATTCACACCAGACTCGTTGCGTTGCAGTCTGTTTTTAAAGGACGCTTACACAAGGGCACAGAATGGGACCAGTTTACACCCCTGCGAGCCATTGCAGTCGGCAGCGTGATGAAAAAATTGTAGAGCCTCCTTTTTTTAAAAAATTCATGGAACAAAAACAGATGTCATCGCAATGCAACGGAACAGAAGTAAAAGAAACAAATGCAAAGATGTTTGTCCACTCAGGACATGTTCATTTAAATAAACACAATGGAAGTCAACAGAAGTTGAAATTGCAAGTCAACAGACCTTCTTTACGATTTTGGTGTGAACGGGCTCTAAAAAATGTAAACGGTGACAGTTCTAGCAGTGTGCAATACAACGCACTCTATCAAAGTGGTTACAACACACTAGCCTGTCCTCTGAAACACAGTTTTTCAGCAGATGGGCTAGTGTGCCCCTTTCACACGGACAGTCCAATTAGGTCCACCGGTCACTTTTTCAGGCAGATTGGAAGCCCAATGTTTCTCTATTGGCAGCCGGATCTAATCGGACCCGCCTCTGTTGACATCAGATCACCATTTTGGTGGACCTGATCTTGACGAATCAGGTGGAACCTGATGTAATCGGACACATGTCTGCTTACATCCGACTAACCCATAGACCTAACATGGGTCCGTACAGCTCAATTTCTTCCTCCATTGCAAGATGAAGGAAAAAAAATGAATGGACACGGATGTCACAAGAGTGAGATCAGTTCTGTACTGCTCCGAGAAGCAGGGGATCCATGCACATATTCCCTGCTGATCAAAATAGACGGCCATGTAAAAGGGGCCTAAGGCCTCATTCACGCATACGGCGGTGACCTACGTTTTACCTAGGGTTGCCACCTGTCCAGGATTCACCTGGACAGTCCGGGCTTTGAATGCTGTGCCTGGCTTTCAGAAACCCGGACACAAGATGTCAGGCAGACAGGGGCAACCAAAATTAAGACAGGGGCTACTGGCCCCCCACTGAAAATAGTCTCAACTGTGATATTTGTATTTGAATGGGTGGTGCCATTTACATATGAATAAGCCACGACTCATTCTCCCCAAAAAAATGTCCGCTCGTCGCTAGAGTGTTGGGGTTTCACTTGAAGAAAAGGTGGCAACCCTAGTTTTACCACACTGGATGAATGCAGGTCACTGATAGGACACATAGAAAATAATGGTGTTTTATGTGTCCTGTTCACACCACAATGCAGGTGTGATGGACAGTGCGTGGTGGAAAATAGCAGCATGCTGGGATTATTTTGGCAGCGCACTGGATGCCACCTCAGGGCGCCCCATGTGCGGGGACCTGAATGGAGTGTACACATTGTATACTACAGATAAAGTTCAAAAAAATTTAAACAGTGACAGCTCTGGCAGTTTGGAATACAAGGAAAACCCAATCACGTGCAAAAAATAATTAAGCTCCCGTTCACACATTTGTAATACAGCATGGTAAGTGTGTTGGGTCAGGGCAGTCTGGTCATCTGAATAGGCTGCCCTACCTGGCTAAATCGTACTCAAAGAAGTGCATCTTGGATTGTGACCTTTTCCCCTTACCTGTTACTTCCAACCCTGACGGCTTGCAGCTCACCTAACATTGCAACATGCAGTCTCATGCAATGCGGGTCCACGTGTGGCATCATGTGTGTTCCTTCATCCCAGAGATGTGAATGAGGCAGAACCGTAGCTAGCTCCGTTTGCGCCCGAGGCAAGAACAGAAAATTGTGCCCCCCAACAGACGTGTTATACCAGCCCATGTGTCATGTGACATCATGTGCCCCGTCTCTGGCATGTTGGAGAGCATGCTGGTGGCCAAATCCAAAATAGCATACAAATTTGTTTCGTTTGACTAAACATTTTTAGTTTCCGTTCATTTCGTTTGAAACAAATTTTTATTCTTTGCACATGTCTAATAATATGTGTGTGTGTGGGAGGGGTTGTTTTTTAATATATGTTTTATTATTATTATTTTATATTTAGACCCCTGACATTTTTCTTTTGAAATAGAAAAAGAGATTGAGGACACAGAGTCCTCTGCCCATTCAGGCGGGGGAGAGCAACGGGGATCCGAGGAGAAGCTGGTGCCTGTGCCACACCTTTTCTCCCTGCCGAGCCGCGGCTGTGTTGGCCACTTATTGACTGAACTTAAGCTGGAGTGCAAGTGACTTCTTCATATTTATACTGTGTTGGCCACCTGGCGCCTCTGTTGCCAATGGTGCCCTATGTTCACCATGGCAACAGGGGCAAGGGGATGCAGCTAGGCCGGCCCTGGCTATGAGCGCTCTCAGCTGCGCCTGAGGCGATTGCCTCTCTTGCCCCGTGGTAGCTACGGCCCTGGAATGAGGGATGAAAAAAAAGTATTTTAGCTTGCACATGATTGGATAAAGAAGTCAACAGAGCTTTACCTCATTCACTAAACTAAGGGAAAATTTCCCTTGTAAAGTGAACAGATTATTTGCCAAAGTTTGTCTCTGATGTTGTTGATTAAAGGCAAAGTCCATTTCTTGCAAAAGAAATAATAAATGCACACACAATGATAAAGGAAAAAAAATGGCATTTATTGTTTTATTGCATTTGAGCTTGTGGGTCACGCATGTAATGCTCTGGCTCCTGCAGATTCTTAATCCCAGTACCTGTGCGCACTGAGATACAGACGTTCAGCTATAGGACGGAAGGAAGTGTCAATGGATTACAAGTGCAGTGACGTCACTGCATTTGTACTTCATTGAGTATATGTAAACTCAACCCCTCAATCACACCTGAGCAATTTGAAGAGCCTCAATGCTCAACACTGAGATTTCCATGCTGTTCTATTGTACCCATTCACAGTCATGTGCTGTCCCTCAATGCACAGAAAGTACAGGAGCTGCTTTGGAAAACTTGCATAATGCAAGTTTTTTTTTAAGCCTAATAACAGTCTCCTTCTAGTAATTATTTAAATGACATACTAAAAGAGAGCCCAACAGCTGCACAAGAGAGGAGGGGACATGACAGCATACCTTCTTCCGCCGGATGAACGCCCCCAAGATGGCTGACGGCAGCTAAGTGTGCATGACATGATGACGTCATGACATCACACGAGTGCGTGATGATGTCACGGCGGGTTTCACCTATCCTTTTGGTTCCAATTAATTATTGGAAACTTGCTATATCTGTTTGAAAAGTGCAAAAAACCTTTTGATCTTGTCAGAAATTCAGAGCCGCCCTGTGTCCTCTGCACATGTGCTGTGTTATCTCAAATAATTTTCCTAGTTCCTATCTTGGTCTACAGGAAGATGAGCTTTTAGGTTGTAAACATCTGAGAGTAAAGCTGGCCATACACCTAAAGATTTTCCTTCTGAAATTTTCGGTACTACGAAGAACCCTCTTTTCATTCTAGCTCAAATACCCCATCATGCACAGACCAATGCTAATTTCGATAAACATTCGTTAGGAATATTAACTCACCGAATTTCGTCGATCCACAGAACAGATTTTCATTTGCGCATGTACAGTGTTCTTGTTGTAATTTTTTTCGTACGAAAACTGCACTAATCCATACATTTTCGTTTTCTAGCCTCACCCTTTGAGAAAATTTGTCCAGTACAGTAAAAAAATTGTTGGGTTCCCATCAACTGATCGATTATGGTTGGAAAGACCATAGAGAGTGTATGGGTAACTTACGAGTGACAGTGGGTAAGTAGTTTAGTAAGAGACAATGGGAGGGCTGATACCATTCAGTCCATACAAACTCTGTGTATTTTTGGTCCACAACAAGACTGAGTGCATTTCCAGCAGATCGAACAGATATTTTTCTGTACTTGCAGGGACTTTAAAGGGACAAAACATGAGAATTCTGCTTGGCCTATCTCCAGGAAAAACACAAAACCCCCTTTGCACTATTTAGGTCTTGGATATTAAACAAAGCAGTCTTACTTACCTGCTTCCTGCTTCCAGGCAGTGAATGCTCTCCTCATCTCCCCTACACCCCAGCTTGTGTACTGTCCCACTGCATCTATGGGCCTTCCATTGTAATTCGAGTGTATTTCCACTTCTGCACTCAAATTTGTGAAAACCCCTCTATATGTTGGTTAAATGTTCCTTTTCACACAGCATACTGAAAAATAAGGTTAAAAAAAAATTCTTACCGTTTAGATGTTTTGTTAAATTAGGCAAGATGGCTGATTCCAGGTTTTTCTTAGCACTTTCACAGTGGTCTGTCCTAATGGAAAGACTTGGGAC